TGGAATTCAAAGTTAAAAAGTAGTACTTATGTAAGTTTCTATTTTTATGTGTGTTTTGTTTGCTTTTATTCTTGCGTAAGTACATACCTAGGTCAATTTTTGATGAGAAGTGTTGCATTTCAAAGCATTTACTTTTTTCTTTGGGGGAAAACGTGCCTCAATTGAAGGATTCCCTCTAAAAAAAATGGGTTTTAAATTATCCATGATAAGGGTTAAATTTTGAATAAGTCTGTAATTTTTCAATTTTGTATTTATTTTTTCATATTTTTTTTTATTTCAGCCAAATAATTATGAGGTAGACAAAATGTACTTGGTTCATATCAACTTCAAAAACGAATTACCTGTGCCAGTAAATCAGTTGCTACCATTATATTATTTCATAAAGCAGTTTTATGGAAGGGGCACTCCACAAATAATACCAACTGTAGAGTATGTTTTACACAGATAAATGTAGTATATATAATGGTGTTGCTCACGTTAACTAACACTCACACAAAATATGATTATGGAAACTTAATTATTTTCAGGAAGTGGGTACCTGATTCTGGCTTGAATGTGCTGCTACCAAAAATGAAGCACTTTGATTACTACCGTCCTATGGGAATTTTCACAACATTCAGAGAACTGAAACCTCATCAGATATTGTTTGTGTTTAAGTGAGTTCAACTAAACAAATTACAAAAAATATAAAAACTCAATTACCTGAAAATAGTGTGTCTAAATAATAATTAAGCACATATTACTTTCATTCCGAGTGCTGCTTAGTTTCTCATCACTTTATGGATCTGTATAACTACTCAGGTGTGTAATGCACGAGAGGTTGGAAATTCCAAATTTAGCTCATAAAGAGAACACAAAATGTTCCCGAAATGTCACATAATTCTTAATATGGAAGAATATTTGGTTACTTAGGTTATAGAAATATTGTTCTTCAGCATAACGAAGAGTTCCCAATCCTACAGTGGTCAATAACTTCATTTTTTGAAAAAGTTTTTGATTATTTTGTTACAGTCCTCTACTACTTCACCAGGTGGAATATGTTAACCGACTGTCCATTGCAGTGGTTACATAATCAGAATAGTATACAACTGTTCCAGGTTCGAACCTGGCAAAATAGGTGGAATACGTTAATAATTGGTATTATATATAGGAGATATTTTTGAGATAGTTTTGTAGCTTAATATATGAACTACAAAAGTTGCCTCTACGATATTTTCATATACACGCCTGTTTGTGGAATTGAGTCACTTTTCTAAGAGCTGTTGCGAGTAGCTGAGGCTAAAAAGTGGGCTATTTGATATGAATATAAATGTTGCTAAGGTCATTTGAAATGGATTTGCCAAGAGCGCAATGATTACACTGGTCAGGCTTCAACTCAGGGTTTGGGAGGGGTGGTTGTAATAGCATTAAATTTTAAGTTAGGGAAATTTCATTCCAGACAGTTCGGCATTGGTAAACCCTATTCAAATGTTATCTACACCATGTTAAATCAAACTCAGGCTCTCGATCATTGCATTATTGTGCTACTATTGTCCAGTAGGCTGGGCGCGTCACAATGAGCCAAAACGAGCGGGAGCGCGACCGAGAAATTGTGAAGTTGTTTATATTTTGACGCTGCATCAATGCCTGTTGATCACAGTATATACAGGTTGTCCCAGAAGTCGACTATTATGACTTGGCCTATACCCCGTTTCCGACTCGACGTTAAATTCTGGGACACACTGTATAACACCGTCACGTATTGGCGACTCTCCAGTTTATGAACTACTAGCCTAAACTCTCGGTTCCGCTTGTGTGAAGTAAGTACTGTAAGGTATAGGTCATTCGTTTTGCATTTGTGTGAAGGAGATTGATTTCGGACAAGATATGCTGTATTCAAAGAAATGCAATAGTTACTCTGGCAATTATTTTTATCGCAACAATAAATTAACCTCAAACGCGTAATCACAATAAATAGTGCCAAGCAATCTCGCCGCCGTGGTGATATGTATACATTGAGTAATCTACAATTACGTGTACCCTATTCCACGAGTATCCATCACGCTTTGACGTCTACTGAGGTGAAGAGTCGATCAGCAAGAGACTTTTTTGTGAAAGTTTGCAACGTTGTCAATAATGATTCGGATGTAAATCTAGCCAAACTCGTTTGTAGCGTTTCGTTTTTTGTATGCAAATGAACTTTTCTAAATAAATCAGCTTTTTGCAAGTATCTACAAAATGAATCTGTAGCATACAATAAAACAAAACAAAATATGGCTTTGTCTACCTGGAATTGACGGATTCGACAGAATTAGTGTCCTTTGCCGATATGGGGAATTTTGAAATATTCCTAGATGATCAACTGTCATTCCACCGTAAGGGATACTCGTGAAAAAGGCTATATGATTGTCCATTGATTATACACTATTTCTCGAGTATCCATCACGGTAGAATGACAGCTGATTATCTAGTAATATTTCAAAATTCCCCATATCTGCAAAGGACACATAATTCTGACGGATCCGTCAATGCCAGGTAGCCAAAACTATATTGTTTTATTTTTTTGTACGCTCTATTTTGTACTTGCCAAAAGCTTTTTTATTTAGCAAAGTTCATTTGCATACCAAAAATAAACCAGTTTTACTAGATTTACACCCGATTAATAATTGCTAACGTCGCAGACTGACTCAAAAATGTCACTAGCTGATGAGCTATTCACCTCACTAGACGTCAAAGCGTGATGGATACTCGTGAATAGGGTATAGCATTTATTGCAGGGAATTTTGGTAAAGAACGTTATTTGTTGTATTATTTGTAGAGTGAATGATTTTCGGGAGCTCCTCTCATGACCCGAGCTTTATTAATAGTAATAAGTAATAATAAATCACAAATTATAACAAATAAGCTAAGCAGATAGCTATGATTAATCTAACCACAATTTCATTACAATAGCACACGCTTAATAACAACTATTTATTTACTGGCCATGGCATGGAATAGAAGACTGATCCCAGATATTAAAGCTTACTATACTGCATAGTTCCTCCTATCCTGTTTTGATAGCTACCTGAATAGAGTAGGGAAGAGAGATTACGAGAACTGCATATATTGCAACAAAGACTAGGATGCTCCTAATTATCTACTCGAATGGGAAAGGCTGATAGAGCAACACTGCCGAGCTTTTCTGACTGAGAGTGGCAATCAAAAATATCAACACTGTACTACTCCACAAGCCACATACTGGCTCCGGCAATGCGGGTGAGCTTGCATTGGTGGTACGTGACATAGACAATACCAAATCTATGGCCCAAAATTATCCCCCGAGCCTTTGAATTGATCAATTAGCAGCTCGACTCGCCCCCTTTCGGTAGGCTAAAGAACAATATTTCAGTAGCTTTAGGTCCAAATTTTTATGCATATTAGAATTTTTTTTAGATCAAAAGAGTGCCTTTACTGGGCTAATTACTTTAATCGTTTTGTAAATTGCTGTAGCTTTGATAAAATATCGATAATTACGTAGTCGTGCCATAAGTTCTGTCCCATGATAATCTCATGATAAAAATGAAACAAGATAAGATATATTTATATGAAAGATATTATTTATTCGACAACATTTTTAGAATTCATAATCAAACAGTTTTATTCAAAATGTCCCCCCTTGGCCTTCACACACTGCTTCAATCTCGCGGGCCACTCATCTATCACTGCACGCACAGCTTCCAAAGGAATAGCTGCCGCTGATCGGATCAAATCCGCTTTCAGGGACTCGATATTACGGTGGGCTTTGGAGCAGGCCAACTGCTCTAGCAGGTCCCACAACTTGTAGTCTAAAGGATTGAGGTCCGGACTCCCTGAGGGCCAATCTTCCGCAGCAATGAACTCTGGCACATTGCTTTCCAGCCAGCGCTGCGTAATCTTAGCCTTGTGAGCGGGGGCGGAATCCTGCTGGTAGACCCAGTGTTGGTTGGCAAACAATGTACCACTTAAAGGCTTGACGATAGGATCCAGTATGTCGCTCTGATAGTTTGCCGCTTTTGTTTTCACGCCCTGTTTACAGAAATGGAGCTGAGTGACCCCTTCGTAGGACACCCCCCACCAAACCATGACTGACGCAGGGTGGTGGCCTCTCTCAACTCTCGGAATGATCTCCGAAGCTTCCTGTGAACTCCTTGCATACACTTTGTCATTTTGTCGGTTGAATTTTTCTTCTATGGTGAAGATTTTCTCATCCGTGAACAAAATCTTTCGGAATCCCCCAGCTGCGTACCTCTCCAAGAGCTTCTTGGATCTTGTCGCCCTGATGTGTCGCAAGGTGGCCGTAAGTCGCTGGCCCGTACGTCTCCGGTAAGCCCCTAGCCCTAGGTCTTGTTTAATGATGCGCGACATCGTCCGGACAGGAATCTTCATTTCCCTGGATAGGATCTTCTGCTTCCGGAGTGGATTCCTTTGAATCCTGGCTTTTACGGCTTTGATGGCTGCTGGAGTCCTTACTTGACGAGGTCTTCCGCTTCTTGGCCTGTCATCAACAGAGGACGTCTCATTGTACCGCTGAATGGTCCTAGACACAAATTTAAGCGATATTTGAAGGCCGCGTAAGAGTTCAAAAATCTGACTAGCACTGTGATTACACTTATGTAAAGCTATCACTGCAATACGGTTCTCTGCCTTGCCCCACTCCATCGTTATGCTTCGAGAGATCAATACAAACTGAGGTATATGTAATTACCCGAAAAGCGCTTAATCAACTGACACCACAATGTAAACAATCGGACAAGTATTAACAGGTCTACACTTGTTTGAAAACGAGGGACAGAACTTATGGCATGACTACGTACATATGAGCGTAGATACAAGGATTTTGATCTTTTCAGGGAAATGGTAAACCACCCAGCATACCCATGTAGTCCCTTCACAGATATGATAGAAAATGAACTGCTAAAGACAGAAACAATTGAAACAAGTATGGCAGAAGCTACATTTGAAAAAACGGAACATGATGATCTTGAAGAAAAACTAAATAATGATTGATGTAAATATATTTAATAAAATTAAGACTAACAATTAATTTTCTCCCTACAGTTTGAATGGCATTGTTGTTTCATCAAAGTATTTGTTATATTTTTTCCATTGGTACCTCTTCTTGGAATCTGTATTGCTGTATGCAGGAGTCAAGTTGGGCATCAGACCTGAAAAATATTACATCAATTATTGGACTACAAAAATTACACTGGACAACAAATTTTAGTTTTTTAATTGTATCTTGTGGGAAAAGTGCACTTCTTTGTTAATTTTGGGGCGCTGAATCCAAAAATGACAATTAAATAAAAAAATTAGTTGCGGTTTAGAAAATAAACTTTTTATTTTTAAGGATATATTAAAAAAAGTAACAAGATTCATATACTTATAAGAATCACTATATGCGCTGTCTTTTTGCTGTTCTTTTATGGATCGTTTCTGGAGCATCTCTACCAAGAGTCCAACAGTAGTCTGCAAGCATGGAAGGATTCCACTTTCCCTGGTACCTTTTTTCCAATTATTGAAATATCCTGATGGAAACGTTCGCCCTGCTCATCACTTACGGCTCCGCAATTGTCAGGAAAAAAGTCCAGGTGTGAGTGTAGGAAATGTATCATAAGAGACATATTACAGCCCATCTTTTCATACGATGACAGCATATTTTTGACAAGGGTTTTATAGTTGTCAGCTTTTCTATTTCCTAAGAAATTAGTGAGCACCAGACGGAAATCATTCCAAGCAGTTTTTTCAATACCTGATAAAGTGTTTTCAAACTGTGTATCTTTCAAAATATTTCGAATCTGTGGCCAACAAAAATACCTCCTTTAACCTTTGCCTCACTTAGTCTTGGAAATTTCTGACGCAGGTATTGAAAAGCTGACCCATCTCTATCTAATGCCTTGACAAAGTTTTTCATTAGGCCCAACTTGATATGCACTGGTGGTAATAAATTTTTTTTCGAATCTACTAATGGCATATGCTGTACATTTTTTTGACCTGGCTCTAGGAATTGACGAACATTCCAGTTTTGTCTGGTGTAATGAAGTGCCTTTGCCCGACTGTCCCATTCACACAAAAAACTGCAAAACTTTGTTTAGCCCAGCTGCAGCCCAAGTAAAAGTGCAAAACTTTCAAATCGCCACAAATATGCCATTGGTGCTCATCGTTTTTTATGCATGTCAATAGGTACTTCATATTGTCATATGATTCTTTCATGTGAACTGCATACCCCCCTACAGGAAGAGATGGTAAAATATTTCCAATATGCAATAACACTGCCTTTAAACTCAATGTTGAACTGTCTATAAACAATCTCCATTCTTCTGGGTTATAGTTTATATTTAAAGCCGCCAGTAAGCCGTTAATGTTACTGCAGAAAACCAAGTTATTCTCCATATTGAAAAATGGTTCTAAGTCTTTGTGGCGTTTACGAAAAACACATACCGAAACATCGTCTTCTAACAAGTTCCACTGCTGCAGTCTTGATCCAAGTAACTCTGCCTTACATTTTTTAAGTTCTAAATCTCTTACAAGATCATTTAATTCTGACTGTGTTATTTTGTGCGGTTGGTTGCATGACGTGCTCGGTATAAAATCAGGATCTCTTGACGTTGATGGCATATCTTCTTCCTGACGAATCACTCGATCGCCATGATCTGATTCGCAAGTGTAGGATTCTGGGGGTTTTGGAATAGGATTTTCGTCACTGTGAGGCACAGGTCTCATCGCTGATGGTATGTTTGGGTAGTTAATAACCATTTTTTTTTCTTGGACATACCTGTGGCTTGTCCAACACAAGGTACCATGCAAAAGTAACAATCATTAATATGATTTGTAGGCTCTCTCCAAACCATTGGGACATCAAAGCGCATAGACCGTTTTTTGCCATTTAACCAGCTCCTCAGACTTGAAGCACATGTATTACAGCAGATGTGGGGTGCCCACTGCTTGTCTTGATCACCTAGTTTACAACCGAAATAAAGCTGATATGCCTTTGTTATTAGTGGAGTAATAGACCGTCTCTGAGACGCAAAAGTCGCATCACCACACACGTAACAAAACTGATCTGGATTGTTTACACACTTTCGAGACATCTTGCATGAACGCTGTCAGCCAACTGAGGAAAAATGGCTAATATAAAACAATATAATGTACACGTATGTATAACGTAACACAATCATGCAGATTACATAATCTTTCGGACGAAAAGATTTATCTTTTGGGATTCTGCCCAAGGAAGGAGGAAGACAGCAATTATACAGAGTGGCCGATATGTAACTGACTGGTTTGTATCTTAAGTATTTGTGAAATGAAATAAAATACGTCCATTTTTTTCATCTTAATTTTTTATTGAAACTTGGAAGCCACACAAACCAGAGCTCTCTTGATTACATTTTTCATCACTTTTTGGTAGGTTTCGGAATGTTTTCAATCGCTTCCGCAATATTGTTCTTCAGCTGCTCTACAGTATTTGGTTTGTAGGCATAAGCCATATTTTTAAAATACCTTGGTGGCCAGCTGAGATCACCAAATCGAGAAATTAAGCGTCCCCGAAATATTGTTCGCAAAAGATTCATTGTTTCCCTAGCTGTGTGACAAGTTGCTGCATCCTGCTGGAACCGCATGTTCTGCAGGTTGAATTGTTCGATTTGAGGAGCCAGAAAGTTTTGCACCATATCACGGTAGTGCTTCCCAGTGACAGTAAGAGAATTACCTGCAGTGTCTTCAAAGAAGTAAGGTGCAATGACACCTCCATACAATCACCCCACCAAACTATGACTCGACGAGGATGTAGTGGTCGTTGATGGATGACACGAGGGTTCTCTAATGCCCAGATACGACAATTCTGCTTATTAACAAATCCGTTAATCGCTCATTATCAGTTGTCGGCAAAAAATGTTATTCTGGGTATTAAGCTCAAAAAAAAATGTTAACCAACCTTCGTACTGTAAAGTCGTATTTTGCTTCTCTTTCGATTTGATTACAGTTTCATAGTGTATAACCGGCTTATAATTATTTTGAATATTTGTTGTGAGGCTCCCACACGTGAGGAACAGTTTGTGAGTACATAGTTTCATTGGCTCCGTATGTTGTGCTCATATACTACAAAACAATTCAATTTTTCTTCTGCCGAGCCACCATTTCTGGTGCAACATTTTTGTTGACCTTGAACTAGAATCCCCCTTTTTGTGTATCACCTGATAAAGAAGTAGTAAAGTAGCTGACTGATAGCTATTGTGGGCTGAATGTAACATTTCTTTCGTGGTTCTGTGGTCTACTCACGGAGGCTCTGAGACGACTTCTTTCATTATTTCTATTCCTTATCCTATCCGTGGTCTACCTCTTTGTGTGTGAGTCTCTATTATCGACCCAATAGAGTGAAGTGCGTCTTCCTGCACCCTCTCCCTTCCTATAACTTGTTGATAATTAACAATGGACCAAGTTTGCGCTACATGTTCCAAATTAATTGGCACTTCTCAAGTGCATATCTTATGCTCCAAGTGCCTGAAAAGTCACCACGCTAATTGTGTTAACTTGACCACTAAAGAGATCGGCTTTTTCGCCGAAAACGGTGACAACAAATGGGTTTGTTCAGCATGCTGTAGACATGGTACAGTTACTCGTAGCAACTCGTCGTCCTCATTAACTAGTGCTCGACCAGCGGTCTCGCCTCATCGGTCTGACGAAGCGACTGCTTCCGATCCTCTAGCACTCATTTTGTGTCAATTGTCGACCATGGCCAATGACATTAGATACATCAAAAACTCACAAACACAACTAAGCAACGATGTCTTCCATTGTATGTCATTGCTGCAACAGCATTCGGCTTCTATTGTTCGCCATGGCGAACTGATCTCTACTTGTGAGGCCAGTATTCAGCAACTCCAAAGTACGCAAGCATCTATCTTATCCAACATTTCGAACATTGAATCTAGACTGACCAATGCACTGATAAATGATAGATCATTGAATACCAACGCTAACAATATCCCATCATCTCCGACTGAAACTTTGGAAATACTCAGACGATCTGACAATATTATCCTGAAAGGTCTTCCTGAAGGCAACAATGATTCCGATTCCGTAACAGACATAATCAACCACATCGAACCGTCTGCTAATGGATACCGCCTCAATATGACCAGACTTGGTGCTGTAGGTACATCTCGTCGTCGGTTAATAAAGGTTGGCTTTGCATCGCCTATAATAGCTAAGAATATTCTACGCAAGAAGAATGATATTTTAAGCCACTCTACCTATAACTCCGTTAAAATGTTGGACGACAAAACACCTTCACAAATGCATGAGCTGCAGCAACACGTGAGGAGCTGAAACGAAGGCTAACCGCTGGAGAACGCAATATCACGATTAAATATGTCAAGGGTAGACCATACATTGTCAATATTGTTGCACAGCAATCTTCTGTATCAAAAAACTGCTAACCGAGTGGTCGGTGTGTGCTTCACAAACATTCAATCACTGGTATCTAGACTTCTTGAAGTGCAAGCATTTGTTGATGGCATCAAACCTTCGTTTCTTTGCCTGACAGAAACCTGGCTCAGCCCAAATACACCTGAATATGTTGTTAATTTGCCTTGGATTAACCATAACCTCTCAAGGATGTTGAGGCATAAAAAGCGTTATGGCAAAGATTCCATAGAAGTAGACTACAACAGGATTATGTATCTCATCGATCTTTCTCTAACATCCTTTCCAAGAACTTGAAAAACGCCAAGCGCAATTTTGAGCAAAATCTTGTATCATCGAAAGATAAGAAGAAGTTGTTTAGATACTTGAGATCCAGCCTGAACTCTAAGGTTTCTTCCCCACAAATCTGTAATCCCAATGGCCACCTACATACTGATGCCGAAAAATATGCCAATCTTGCCGATGCTTTCAGTGAAGATTTTGTGAATGAACCTGATGGTGATGGTACTCTTCCGAACTTATCCAGCCCTCATAGATGTCTAGCGACCATCTGTAACATAGATTTTCAACCTCAGGACATTGAGAGGCACCTTACTAAACTGATAACTTGTTCGTCCCCTGGAAAGGATGGGATTACTTCTGCCGTTATGTGCTTCAGCTCTCCCCTGTGCATTATATTCAACTCCTCGTTTCAAAATCACATCCTTCCTTCCTGTTGGCGCACTGCATCTGTGACACCTGTATTCAAAAAAGGAGATAAAACATCTACAAAAAACTACCGTCCTATCAGTCTTGTGCATATAGCTGCGAAAATAGCCGAAAAGATCGTCCAAGAACAACTTATGACATTTGCGTTCAAGAACAACCTGATGCCTAGCAACCAACATGGTTTTATTCCTGGTAGATCAATTATCACTAACATGTTACACAGCATCGACAATTGGACCAGATCTTTAGACGCAAATGAACCGGTCGACGTGGTTTATCTGGATTTTTCCAGAGCTTTCGATCGAGTTCCACAAGCTTGAACATCTCGGAATCAGGGGATTGAAGCTTTTTTGTTAGATTGATCTTTCTCCGTCCGTGTTGGAGACGCCTATTCTTCTAGCCATCGTGTTACTAGTGGAGTCCACAAGGATCTGTGCTAGGGCCAATACTTTTTCTTCTTTATACAAGCGACCTTCCTACCCGACTTTCTTCTTTGTGTTCCATCTATGCAGATGATACTAAAGTCTATAACACTGCCATGAACTCATCTGTGCTTCAAGAAGACCTCAAGCTGATCAGAAAGTGGTCAGAACTTTGGCTCCTGCCTTTAAATCTCTCGAAATGCTACATTCTCCACCTGGGAATGAATAATCCTAACTTAACATATAAGATTGACAAACATACCTTAGAGACTGTTTTTCTTCACACAGATCTTGGTCTGTCAGTTAATGAACGGCTCACCTGGTCGGAGCACATTCAGAACATAACCTCTAAGGCAAAGCGGTTGCTATATACAGGGTGACTTTGAAGTTGAGTCATTAATTTTCAGATAATGATTGTAGAAGGAAGATAAACCAAAATATGTGTGTAAAAATAAAAAAAAAATTAAAAAAAATGTTTACCTTGTTTTATAAAGTATCCTCCCGACAAGTATTTCAGTGCGGACCTGTATTTGATCGTGAGGTCTTGGAGCACCGGCATGCCGTCACCTGATTCACGAGCCCGTTGTACTACATTAACAAAGGCACGAGGGGTTGGTTGCACTCGATTGGGAAACCGATCCGCATAAACATGTGCCATTTTTTATTTCGTTTGAGCCACGCAACAGACACCACTATTCACTGACACTGACTGTATACAAATGAATAAAATAATTGTAAAAACATCGTTCCAAATTCTTTCGCTTTTTTGTTTCTGATGCGATGAACCGATACGGCGGATTATATCCGTTGTCGCCAAACACGAGCACATAATATTATTATTGAGACAGGGCGGTACTCAAACTTCCAAAGGGCTATAACTTTACTTTAATTTTACCAGAAAAATGGTAAAGGAAAAAACATTTCTTTTGATCAGATCTACTCACTGTTAAAATAAATGACTCAACTTCGAAGTCACCCTGTATATGATGGAAAGATCATTTAGCGGTTGCACCGTTAGTACCTCCTTCTTGTACACAACTTTCGTACGACCCCTACTGGAGTTTGCTGGTCCGGTATGGGATTCAAACCTTGTTCGCGATAGCAGCTTATTAGAGGCCGTTCAGCGTCGTGCTACACGTATGCCTTATGGCACACGTAAGCCAAGTTATGAAGACCGCCTCGAGTTATATAACCTGCCTGCTTTTGCTGATAGAAGAATGCGAGGAGATCTCATCACTTTCAGAGCACTGCATAATTTGTTTGGTGTGGACATGCCGCATCTGTTTCGTCTGGCAACGAACAATCTCGGAGGACATAACTTCAGATTGCAGAAGGAAGCTTTTAGCACCTCTGCTCGTCAGCGCTCTTTATCTCAAACCGTGTCTTCGATGCATGGTACAGTCTTCCATTTTATGTATTGAACTCGGCATCCGTCAACAGTTTCAAAAACAATTACGATAGACACCGCAGTGCTTCACATATTGTTCCCATTCGGTATATGTCTACTTCAGAAGCGCTAAGATTGTCAAATTGTTATATTCTCTTTGTCTGTACACTATTATCTATTATGTGTTTGAGTGTATAGTACTTGTGATCAACTCAAATTTGTTGTTTTAATAATAATAATAATATTGCATGACTGTATTGTCGGCGACTTTCATGATCACTAGGCTGTAGTTCTTGGATTAAATGAATTTTGTATGGCCGCAAATAAAGTCTTTTTTACAATTGTGCATATGACTAGCGACGAATACCCAGTTCTTGAGAACGATGTCTGGTAGACGTCTCAGGGCGCTCCACTACACTTTCACGAACTGTCTCGATATTTTCCGGAGTACGAACAGTTGGAACACAGCCCGACCTTGGCAAGTCTAACTTTGTTCAAATTTCCGCACCGACTGACTAATGGTGTTGACACTGGGCACATTATTTTGACCAAAATCTTGTCATAGCTTCCAATCCACTCATTATTTAAGTAAAACGTATTAATAATACGGACGCATTGTGGCATCCTGTAGTGCTCCATGATGAATTGGACACATGCGCTTTAAACAACTACTATGGCGCCACCTACTGAAATTTGTGTATCGAAACTGGCGCGCAATTTAAATCATTCAGTTATATATTGGCCACCCTGTAGTAGCACTTATGCTATATAAACTGGTTGAGCTGTATAATAATATCAAATAGACAATTACCTATTGCCTAAGCTGAACTACCTCATTAAAAAAAAATAGACACAGTAGAGGTCCTTAACCTCCCATGCCAATCAGCAAAACTTTTTGAATGTTACATGATAAGTACATCACGAAAACTTGTTCATTTTCATCTGATGATCTGTCCACTAATCTGTGAACCCTCTGTACAGGGTCAACGTCAGAGTTTTACATGCTGAGGCAAAAGATGAAACATGCATCATCCCCTCACATTAATCGGTAATAAAGGCTGATACCCTGTTTAAGTCAGAGGGTGGTCACTTAAGTCACATTTGCAGATTTAGGAAGCTATCTAGAGGGCAATGCAGTCAAACATGTTCAACACGGGGGGGCTATGTCTGAATGAAAATTGGCTCAGCTGCATTAGTGTTTCTAAAAGTGAATGATAACTTAAGAGGGTAAGGTGTTGTAGCCCTATGATCCCCACAGGTTACTAATAATAGCATAATAAATAGCAAGTCGGGACAATTACCTGATTTTTGAGCCATAGCGAATAGCGAGTTAATAAGATTCTCGTTATTGTCGAGTGTTGCAGAGTCCTATTGGCATTTCGATCTTTAGTTTCACCTACATCTCAACAGATGGTGAAATTTTAATTGATAGAAATCTGTTAATGACAGCACACATAACAGCTTTGATATAATTCAATATAAGATTAGCAGATGGCACTACCTCGTGTTGCTGAGCGCCATCTCCTAGGCACAATGTCGACCAACCGTTTTCTTCATCTTTCAAACCGTGTATATTGTATATTTTGTGCTTCTTCAGCATTCTTCAGTTTTATGACATAACCTAAACTCTTAACAATAGAAAACTCTACGAATTCAAAAATATAATTCACTCATAATTTTAATTCCATATATATATATATATATATATATTAGATATGGTGTAATGACATATGATAATATGTACCTGAAACGACATTCAAGATCTTTTGCCAATGGATTTTACAGGTGCTTATCTGAAAGTGTCCCCAAAAAAGATGTTGAACCTACCAAAGATGATCTTAAACGAACGGCTGAAAACAGAATACCTTTTTCACGTGAACTTGTTTACTTCTTAACAGCAAACCCACATTTGAGTAGCGTTAAAAAATATATTCCTCCCAGACATTTGGCCGTCACAAGGGCCCCAGAGAATTTATATTTGATATGCCCAAATGTAGCAAAAAGTATTGCAAATATAGTGTTTCCACATTTAAGATCCACAAAGAGTCAAGTAATCGCTGAAACAAATGCTGGCTTAGGTCTGATCACTACAGAATTACTAGAAAAAGGAGTTGATTTGATAAGGCTTTATGAGATGTGTAGTGATTTTAGGAGAGAACTGAAGGTAAGTATTAATTGGGAAGTGCCAGTTGATCATATATCTTATGGATTTTTATGTCTCTGATACTCTCATTTCATACATTTTAGGAATTTGGTGATGTATATCCAGGCCGTGTAGAACTGTTCACCAAAGACATATTCCATTTGTATCGTTACGCATTTATAGACAAGCAAGATAATGGAAATAGGGTAGAAGCTCTTCTTCAAGGAGTTTCAAAAAGGAATTGGTCTGATGGTGAGTTCATATTTATTTTTATGGATGAATTAGTACTTATTTATGTGAATAAATAATAAATTATACTTAAATAAAATAGAACAATATATATTTCTAATTCTAATTGCAGTACATTTCTTGTAACAGCTATAGAATAATATACATACATGTAATAAAGAGAAGAACAAACTGCTGGTCTTCAATTTCTAACAGTTTTTCAAACTAACCTCTACATTAAATAAATGCTTTCTGACTTCACATTTATTGTACTTGGCAAACAGTTGAAGTATTTCAGATAGGTGTAATATGGTCTTTACAGTTGAAGTTAGTCTATGCCTCGGATAAATTGCAATTAAATGTCTTGTGTTGTCTGTAGGTAAAATCAAACATTCATATATAGTGTTTCAAATTCGACCCTCACCATTGGGATCTCGAAAACTGTAAGAGATACAAAGTCGCTTAAATGGGGGCAAGGTTGCATATTTCGGTAATCAACAAAATGCCACATAGAATGTTTCATAATTCAATGTACTTCCAGATGTATTTTTCCACAGACGAATTGAGTCAATGCATCATACATTGATGTTGTCAAACCTTAGGCCTGTATCGTCAGTCGTCCCTACAATTGTAGGGCGCGTGTATGACCTCCTTGATTGTCATACTCCTTTCTCTCCTTTAAAAATTTCTAGATTACACTTGTCCCGTGTCAGCGTCAGCGCTCTCCTATTGTGAAGATATGTTTTCTTTTGAAATTGTAGGAAATTTCAGGCTGATAAAAGATGATATAACTCAAAAGCAAGCACAATTTGATGCAAATAGATGTTTGTGACATAACTTCAAAATAGAGTTCTGACAAGGAGAAATAGAAAACTATGACAATCAAGGAGGCCATAAAGGTGCCCTTAAATTGTAGGGACGACTGACGATACGGGCCTTGGTTATTTGGAAAAAGCAGAATTTCCTAGGTAGGCCTTGAAACTATCAGGCAGTCATTTGTTTTGCCTACCAGATTTATCCCAAAACCACTTTTATTTTTTCCTGGCTGTATGGTTTGTGAAACAAATACCGTTGGACCAATCATAACATATATAGGGGCATGTCACCAGAAGCTCTTTCAGAACATCTTGAAACAACACCAAATATCTATATGCTTATTAAAAATTATTATGGCATCAAGCAGTAGACTAGATTTTATTTTGCGCAATATCTTATGTAACTCTGAACAGGAATTTAGTGGTTGAAATGTGTAGTGTACAAAAATAAGTGCCCCTTGTTCCATGAAGCCTGCCGAAAAACAATTATAGTGACTACTGACAGATCTAACGAGTGCTTCACATCTCATCACCATACTGTGAATTGTGAATCTCTAATAGTCATCTGTCAAAAAATATGTAACCCAATAAAAAATTTTCGGACTCTATTTTGTAGTGGTATTTCAAAATAAATTTCACATTAACATTCCCACTTTTTCTCCTCTACAAGATGGCATAATTAGAATTTCAATATGACATTTCTTCTTTTGCCCTCCAGCATCAACTTTATCTTTTCTTATAGACGCCATATTGGAATTTTCTACAGATGAATAGAGTCAATGCTCCATACATTGATGTTGCCAAACCTTAGTTATTTCAAAAAAGCAGAATTTCCTATGTAGGCATTGAAACTATCTGTCATTTGTTTCACCTACCAGATTTATCCCTAAACCACTTCTATTTTTTCCTGGCTTCATGGTAGGCCAAACAAATAACTATTAAAAAATCTCAGGGCCTACCTAGAAAATTTAGCTTTTTTTGAAATGGCCAAGGTTTGGCAATGTTAATGTATGAAGCATTATACATTTTCGAAATTAGAACTAAAAACTCTATTCATCTGTGCAAAAATCCAATATGGCGTCCATAAGAAAAAATAAAATTGATTCTGGGGGGGGCAAGAGACGAAACGTCATTTTGAAATTCTAATTATGTATGTCTTCTTGTAGAGGAGAAAAAGTGGCAATGTTGATGTGCATTTTATTTTGAAATCCCACTGCAAATAAAGTCAGGAAAAAAATTAAACGATTTTGGGAAAATTCAGTTTTCTCCGTCTCTCTCGGGAAGGACTTTGAATTTCGCAACAGTCTAAGCGGCATTCTGTAGATTACCAAAATATGCAACAGGTGATTCGGAAATTGAAGGATAATCCTGCAATTGGCAATAGGTCATATGATGACCTACTATTTGACAAAATTGTGTTTAGTCAAGCCTCATGGTTTTAGAGGTATACAGCAATCTTTTTTTTGCAAAAATCGATCTAGCTAAATTGTTGTCATTTCTATAAACATCAATTTTTTGAGCTGGGTGTATTTTAAAATATTTCTATAAACATCAATTTTTTGAGCTGGGTTGATTTTAAAATATTCAGAATTGATTGTTTTCTCCAAATAACTGTTGTTTTATCATTACGTTATCGCAAAGTCCACATTGGAGTTATTCTAATGCAACATTTCAATGAAAACTAATTTATACATCTAACTTTGACACAGTGAAGTAACAAAGAGAGGGCTTGGATCACTGTGCCAAATACTTAAAAAAGTTTATTATTTGATGTCATTCTTACAGCTTGCAATGGTACTATTGTTCAATATTTTGTTTCCTATTTTCTTTTCCATCCACGCCTACTGGCGAGGAATCTTAATTTTGGTAAATGAGATATGTTTTTTTGGATGTTATATGACATGTTCATCACGATAAACCCTTGGCCCATCTTTAACTTGGAGAGTATCATCGCTTATATTAAGACAGCGCAAAGTGCCATCTATCACACGAGAATCGGTTACTGCGGAAAGCGCATATCTGCGGTTAGTTGGAACTGTTAGGGATCTCAGCTCGCGTTTAATAGCCCAGCCACCACTTGACCGCTAGATGGCAGACGATTCTGATTCTAAAGCAGATGTGGTCTACTTGCCAGTGGTCGATTCTGGTGTGATAGATGGCGCTTTGCGCTGTCTTATTTCGATAGACGGTTCCTGCGGTATAGAGGATAGTTGCGATGCTTGCAAGAAACAGCTGTCCATGGTTGTGTTTCTTTTTGGTCGGTCGGACGAAAGCATCATTTTCAGTTTATGGCTTATATTGACTTATTAACCAACACACTATCATGTCTGTTTGTTTCCAGAACCAGTAATGACGATAATTGGTACAATGTGTAATTTATATTTTCTCAAATATCTCATAAAATCTTTAGTACTGCAGACAGGGCCAACATTATATGGTAGAATAAAGTTGTTTGCTTTAATGAGGCCTAGAGATTATGCAGTAAGTACCTATGTAATCGGTTATACAGTAAGGTGGAGATTAAATGTAAACGATTTTGTAAAAATTCGATTTTTCCCATTTAACTCCAGAAATACAAATAATACAGAATTTTCGTGTACTGTTTTTAAGGTTACATAAAATACCTTCTAACCAGAATCTTCTAGCTCTTACCATTTTCAACATCGTAATGGTGTGGATCAAATTTGTGATTGTTTTTACCTATTTGTTGTAGGTTTTGTCAGCTACTCCTAAAGATAATCGGGTTGCCTATTCAGCATGGGCAGTATTATTCAATTTGTTTTTAGATTATGATGTGCTATATGAATTTCCACGCAAAATGTTCTTTCCATGGGATTCAAAGTTAAAAAAGACTTCTTATGTAAGTTTTTATTTTTATGTGTGTTTTGTTTGCTTTTATTCTTGCTTAAGTACATACGTCAGTTTTTGATGAGAAGTGTTGAATTTCAAAGCATTTACCATTTTTCTTTGGGGGAAAACGTGCCTCAATTGAAGGATTCCCTTAAAAAAAAATGGGTTTTAAATTATCCATGATAAGGGTTAAATTTTGAATAAGTGTGTAATTTTTCATTTTGTATTTATTTTTTCATATATTTTTTTAATTTCAGCCAAATAATTATGAGGTAGATAAAATGTACTTGGTTCACATCAACTTCAAAAACGAATTACCTGTGCCAATAAATCAGTTGCTACCATTATATTATTTCATAAAGCAGTTTTATGGAAGGGGCACTCCACAAATAATACCAACTGTAGAGTACGTTGTACACAGATAAATGCAGTAAATATAATGGTGTTGCTCACGTTAACTAACACTCACACAAAATATGATTATGGAAACTTAATGATTTTCAGGAAGTGGGTACCTGATTCTGGCTTGAATGTGCTGCTTCCAAAAACGAAGCACTTTGATTACTACTGTCCTATGGGAATTTTCACAACATTCAGAGAACTGAAACCCCATCAGATATTGTTTGTGTTTAAGTGAGTTCAACTAAACAAATTACAAAAAATATAAAAACTCAATTTCCTGAAAATAGTGTATCTAAATAATAATTAAGCACATATTACTTTCACTCCGAGTGCTGCTTAATTTCTTATCACTTTATGGATCTGTATAACTACTCGGGTGTGTAATGCACGATAGTTTGGAAATTCCAAATTTAGCTCATAAAGAGAACACAAAATGTTCCCGAAATGTCACATAATTCATAATATCGAAGAATATTTGGACTTAGGTTATAGAAATATCTTTCTTCAGCATAACGAAGAGTTCCCAATCCTACAGTGGTCAATAACTTCATTTTTTGAAAAAGTTTTTGATTATTTTGTTACAGTCCTCTAGTACTCCACCAGGTCGATTATGTTAACCGACTGTCCATTGCAGTGGTTACATACTCGGAATAGTATGCAACTGTTCCAGGTTTGAACCTGGCAAAATAGGTGGAATACGTTAATAAATGGTGGAGATATTTTTAAGATTTTCTAGCTTAATATATGAACTACAAAAGTTGCCTCTATGATATTTTGATATCTACGTCTGTTTGTGGAATTGAGTCAATTTTCTAAGAGCTGTCCTTAGTACATACGCAGTTGCGCGTAGCTGAGGCAAAAAAAGTGGGCTATTTGATATAAATAAATGTTGCTAAGGTACAAATGATTACACTGGTCAGGCCTCAACTCAGGGGTTTGGGAGGGGTGGTTGTAATAGCATTAAATTTTAAGTTAGGGAAATCTCATTCCAGACAGTTCGGCATTGGTAAACCCTATTCAAATGTTATCTATACAGTGTTAAATCAAACTCATTCTCTCGATCATTGCATTATTGTGCTACTATTGTCCAGTAGGCTGGTCGCGTCACAATGAGCCAAAACGAGCGGGAGGTGCGCGACTGAGAAATTGTAAAGTTGTTTTTATTTTGACGCTGGATCAATGCCTTTTGATCACAGGATATACAGGTTGTCCCAGAAGTCGACTATTATGACTTGGCCTATACCCCGATTCCGACTCGACGTTAACTTCTGGGACACACTGTGTAACACCGTCACGTATTGGCGACTCTCCAGTTTATGAACTACTAGCCTAAACTCTCGGTTCCGCTTGCGTGAAGTAAGTACTGTAAAGTATAGGTCATTCGTTTTGCATTTGTGTGAAGGAGATTGATTTCGGACAAGAAATGCCTTATTCAAAGAAATGCAGTAGTTACTCTGGCAATGGTCATTATTTTTAACGCAACAATAATGCCAAGCAATCTCGCCGCCATGTATTCATAGAGTAATCTACAATTACGTGCACCCTATTCCACGAGTATCCATCACGCTTTGACGTCTACTGAGGTGAACAGTCGATCAGCATGAGACATTTTTGTGAAAGTTTGTAACGTTAGCAATAATGAATCGGATGTAAATCTAGTCAAACTCGTTTGTAGCGTTTCGTTTTTTGTATGCAAATGAACTTTTCTAAATAAAACAGCTTTTAGCAAGTACCTACAAAATGAATCTGTAGCATACAAGAAAACAAAACAAAATGTGGCTCTGTCTACCTGGAATTGACGGATTCGACAGAATTAGTGTCCTTTGCCGATATGGGGATTTTGAAATATTCCTAGATGATCAACTGTCATTCCACCGTAATGGATACTCGTGAAAAAGGCTGTATGGTTGTCCATTGATTATACCCTATTTCTCGAGTATCCATCACGGTAGAATGACACCTCATTATAGATAATATTTCAAAATTCCCCATATCGGCAAATGACATAATCCTGACGGATCCGTCAATGCCAGTTCAAACCAGTTTTACTAGATTTGCACCCGATTCATTATTGTTAACGTCACAGACTGATACAAAAATGTCACTAGCTGATCAGCTGTTCACCTCAGTAGACGTCAAAGCGTGATGGATACTCGTGAATAGGGTATAGCATTTATTGCAGGGAATTTTGGTAAAGAACGTTATTTGTTGTATTATTTGTAGAGTGAATGATTTTCGGGACCTCCTCTCATGACCCGAGCTTTATTAATAGTAATAAGTGAGAATAAATCACAAATTATAACAAATAAGCTAAGCAGATAACTATGACTAATCTAACCACAATTTCATTACAATAGCACACGTTTAATAACAGTTATATATTTACTGGCCATGGCATGGAATAGAAGACTGATCCCAGATATTAAAGCTTACTATACTGCAGTTCCTCGCAGGACATGGTTGTTTTGACAGCTTCCTGAGGAGAGTAGGAAAGAGAGAGTACGCGAACTGCGTAGGTGTATTGCAACAAAGACTATGATGCTCCTAATTATCTACTCGAATGTTGTAGTTGGGTTGACTACCAGAGTCAGCTGGAATTGACGCTCGCCGAGAGGCTTACTGCTGGCAATGTTCTCAGGCATGTAAGCGAGGGCAAATTGGTTGATATTCAACCTAAGCAAGGAAGACAATAGTAGACCAAGGAAGCGACTAAGATGACTAATACCTTTAATATGAAACCCTAGCGCAACGATACCCATTATGAAGAAATGCTGCAGCATTACCGTTGTGGAATGTGTGGCAAACGACTGAGTGGTATGCCGCTTCTGGAGAATCTCACACTTTGGGCGGGAAAGGCTGACAGAGCAACACTGCCGAGCTTTTCTGATTGAGAATGGCAATCACAAATATCAACACTGTACTACTCCACTAGCCAACCACTGGTGATTATAGAATCATCCAGCTCCATAAATGCGGTATACTTATGATGATCTTGCATTGGTGGTACCCGACATAGACAATACAAAATCTATGGCTCAAAATTAATCCGCGAGCCTTTGAATTGATCAATTAGCAGCTCGACACTCGCCCCCTTTCGGTAGGCTAAAGGACAATATTTCAGTAGCTTTAAGTCCAAATTGTTATGCATATTAGAATTTTTGTTAGATAAAAGTGTGCCTTTACTGGGCTAATTACTTTAACCGTTTTGTAAATTGCTGTAGCTTTGATAAAATAATGATAATTACATATGAGGGAAGATACAAGGACTTTGATCTTTTCAGGGAAATGGTAAACCACCCAGCATACCCAGGTAGCCCCTTCAGAGATATGGTAGAAAATGAAATGGCAAAGTCAGAAACAATTGAAACATGTTTGGCTGAAGCTACATTTGAAAAAACTGTACGTGGCGATCTTAAAGAAAAACTAAATAATGATTGATGTAAATATATTTAATAAAACTAAGACTAACAATTATTTTTCTCCTACAGTTTGAATGGTATTGTTGTTTCATCAAAGTACTTGTTATATTTTTTCCATTCGTACCGCTTCTTGGGATCTTTATTGCTGTATGCAGGAGTCAAGTTGGGCATCAGACCTGAAAAATATTATATTAATTATTGGACTACATTCAACATTGTTAGAAAGCAGTCGCTAAAAGTAATTTTGTAAAAGTGACTATTTTTGAGCTAGCGGTGAAAATGAAAAATTAATAAGTAACTGATATGTGATAGTCTGGTATTGTTTGGCCTTTCTATAGCCTCAGAAGTGCCATTCAGATTTTGGTCAAATATACTAGAGACAAGAATACTGCTAGTAATAACCAAAAAACTTAGAATGTGTACATTATCAGTATGCAAGGACGAAAAGATTTAACTTTTGGTATTCTGCCAAAGGAAGGAATAACACAGCAGTTATACAGGGTGGCCGATATGTAACTGACTGGTTTGTATCTTGAGTATTTGTGAAATGAAATAAAATACGTTCATTTTTTTCATCCTAATCTTTTATTGAAACAAACAAACCAGAGCTATCTTGATTACATTTTTCATCACTTTTTGGTAGGTTTTGGAAGGAATATTTTCAATCGCTTCCGTAATATTGTTCTTCAGCTGCTCTACAGTATTTGGTTTGTTAGCAAAAACCATATTTTTCAAAAATCCCCATAAAAAAAAGTCAGGAGCCATTAAATCCGGTGACCTTGGTGGCCAGCTGGCATCACCAAATCGAGAAATTAAACGTCCCCGAAATATTGTTCGCAAAAGATCCATTGTTTCCCTAGCTGTGTCACAAGTTGCTTCTCCTTGCTGGAACCAGATGTTTTGCAGGTTAAATTGTTGGATTTGAGGAGCCAGAAAGTTTTGCGCCATATCACTGTAGTGCTCGCCAGTGACAGTAAGAGAATTACCTGCAGTTTCTTCAAAGAAGTAAGGTCCATTGACACCTCCATCCAATCACCGCACCAAACTGTGACCCGACGAGGATCTGGACGTTGATGGATGACACGAGGGTTCTCTAGTGCCCAGATACGACATTTCTGCTTATTAACAAATCCGTTCAAATCGAAGTGGGCTTCATCGCTCATTATCAGTTGTCGGTAAAAATCGTTATTTTCGGTATTAAGCTACAATAATGCATGACTGTATTGTCGGCGACTTTCATGGTCACTTGGCTGTAGTTCTTGGGTTAACTGAATTTTGTATGGCCGAAAATGCAAGTCTTGAGAACGATGTCTGGTAGACGTCTCGGGGCGCTCCACTACATTTTCACGAACTGTCTCGACATTTTCCGGAGTACGAACAGTTCGAACACACCTTGGCAAGTCTTTAACTTTGTACAAATTTCCGCATCGACTAATGGTATTGACACTGGGCACATTACTTCGACCGAAATCTTGCCGTAGCTTCTAATTGCAACAATCGACTCGTTATTTAAGTAAAACGTTTTAACAATACGGACGCCTTGTGGGATCGTGTACGGTCCATGATGAATTGGACACATGTGCTTTAAACAACTACTATGGCGCGACCTACTGAAATGCGTGTATCAAAACTGGCGCGCAATTTAAATCAGTCAGTTATACGAGCCCCTTCCCACTTCAGTTGGCCCAACTATTGAAATCTTAGTTTTTTCTTATCAAACACAAGTAATAAAAATGTAGCAGGGTGTTATAGGTTTAAAATATTAACAATGAATATTTTGATAATATATAGTAGAAAACACCAACTTTATCACTCCTTAATTAAATTTGCAGCATAAAAATAACACATGTTGCAATTACAGAGTATCAACCTATTTTCATTCATGCAAAATAAGTCTATATATATATATATATATATGTTTTTATTAATCACAGCTGTCAGAATACGTTTAAAATAGTTTTGGGTAGTTAAGGTTTTCAAAATGGGTAGAGGAAAGGTTATTAGTGAGAAAATTCGGTTATTGATAATTAAATTTCCTAATTCTGGGAAATCAAACTCAGAAATTGCAACTTTGTTAGAATTCTCGCAGTACAGTGTGAGAAATATTGTTAGAAGATATAACGTAACCGGTACAGTTAATATTAAGCCACGATATGTGAAAAAAAGTAATATCACAAATGCCGACTGAAGAGCATTAAGAAAAATAATCGTGAGAGAGGTCCACAAACTGGGATTTAGCACTTGCAAGGTAAGTTTTCTTATAAAAAAAAGTGAAGTAAAAACCCTAAAGTAGCACAACTTGTTTATAGACCAAAGAAAAGCCACTATTAACTCCACTGCAAAAGAAAAATCGGCTTAGATGGGCTAAAGAACATAGACAACGGACACCTCAACAATGGTGTGCAATACAATGGAGTGATGAGGCCCGATTCGAAGTTTGTGTTTTTTGACAGTCGCAGTAGAGTTATTCGCAAAAAAATGAAGCATTCCATGTTGATTAATGGAAATGTGGATACCAACAAATATTTGGCAATTTTAGAAGAATCGCTTTTACCAGTGTTGGAAGAATGTTTGACATCCGGCCAAGATTTTGTGTCTCAGCAAGATGCAGCATGCCATACCTCAAAAAAGTCTATAAAATGGAAGAAAATAATGTACCACTTTTGAAATGGGTTTCTAGCAGTCCAGATCTGTCACCTATTGAAACTTTGTGGCATGAGATGAAAAAGGTTCTATGACAACATTCTGCTCGTACAATCACCGAACTGAGACAAAAAGCTTCAAGAAATATGGGATTGTTTTACACCAAATTTTTGCCAAAACTTGATTAACACTATGCTCCAAAGAATTTCAGCCGTAATAAAAAATAAAGTTGATGTTACACCATGGTAATCTTTCAATTGTTGCTATGTTAACTTCGCGCATATATTCGTACATTGTTTATTTGTTCAGATGTTCTATTAGTTATAGGTCTAAGTGATTTCAAATATGTATTTTTTACGACTAGAGTGTATCTACAATGTTTTTGAGAAAATAAATTGTTTTAGAAGTAAATAGTTTTGTCATGTTTAGTTTACAAAGGCATATTTTGGTACAAATCTTGAAGTGGGCCAACTGAAGTGGGAAGGGGCTCGTATATTGGCAAACCTGTATAATAATATCAAATAGACAATTACCTATTGCCTAAGACTAAAGTACCTCTTTAAAAAAAAAGAGACTGATACAGTGTCACCCCTCATGCCAATAAACAAATTTTTTGAATGTCAAGTCTTGTGCAGATATGTAACAACGCCGCGAACCGAACCAGTCGACGAACCGCAGCGCAACGATCCAATTTTGAAGTTTGTCGTTCAGTGAAAGACGGATACTAGCGGAAATGGATATACTAGCAGTAGCAGCAGCGCAGCTGCCTATATTTATATTCACTACGAATCATCCAAAAACAAGCGACGACGACGTCCGAGGCGATGGTGGAAAACGCAGTTATATACCAATAGAGCACATGGTTGCGCCAATTTGATAGCGGAATTGAAATATCAACAAGTAAGTGGACAGAACAAAAATTCTGACGGACTTTGAATATATTCTCACGTTGATTAAACCAAAAATACAAAGACACAATACAAAGTGGAGAACTGCCATCACAGTACAAAAAAGACTTGCAGTCACGGTGCGATTTTTAGCGACCGGTGATTTATACAGCAGTTTTCAATACATGTTTCGAATTTCAAAGCAATCGATCAGCTACATCATTCAAGAAGTTTGTGGGGCATTGATCGAAGTTTTAACAGAAAATATACAAGCAAGAAAAATAATTTTACTTCTAGGTACATAACACATTGGTGCTCGCCGCACCGGTATGCATGTCCAAACATGTACAACTTCGTCGCGAACCATTTCTTTGATGTTGCGCTGAAAAACTGACAGTCTGGATCGGGCCGAACGCCGAGCTGTAACGCTAGTCAGGTTCGCGACGGCATTCTTTTCACTGTCTACACTACCGCGGCGCGGTTAGTCGCGTAGTACGGTTCGCGGTGTTGTTACATATCTACACATGATAAGTACATCACAAAAACTTGTTCATTTCCATCTCTCCGCTAATCCATGAAGCCTCTGTACAGGGTCAACTTCATAGTTTTACATGCTGAGACAAATGATGAAACGTGCACCTTCCCCTCACGTTAATCGGTAATAAAGGCAGATCCACTCTTTTAAGTCAGAGGGTGCTCACTTAGTCACATTTGCAGATTTAAGAAGGTATCTAGAGGGCGATGCAGTGGTTGCCCTATCGAAGATGTTCAACTTGGGGAGGCTATGGGTGAATGAAAATTGGCTCAGCTGCATCAGTGTTTCTAAAAGCTAATGATAACTTAAGATGGCAAGGTGTTGTATCCCAATGATCCAGACAGGTTACTAATAATAGCAAATCTGGACAATTACCTGATTTTTGAGCCATAGCGACTAAATAAGTTACTCGTTTTTGTTGAGTCTTGCAGAGTCCAGTAATTCTCCTAGGTAGCATACATCCATCTTTTCTGACAAACTGACTCAGAATCAACACATCTGTGTGTTTAATGTCCAAACCAGTAGCACATAGTGGACATGCTTTTGAATGATTGCTTTTTAGGAGATACGGTTCTCGTTCTGAGGAGACTATTTCGCCATATATCACTAGATCTTTGCCTTCTTGAATCTCATTTACTGAAATATAGTATGAGAATCAGATTAATCTGTTATAATGTGGTTATAATCATCTTACAAATAATACTACATTTACTCACTTTTTTTGAGATGCAATGTGGAAGTGATGGAAATGTTACGTTGTGCTTGATTGAAAACCGATTTTATGTAGTTATTGGTTGCTATTTTGAAAAGGGTAGTCATATCTCCAACTTTAATTTAAGAGAATCAAAACAGCAAATTTTTTAGGTTAGAAAAATGACAAGTGGCCAAGTGGCTAGTTTCACCTACATCTCAATAGATGGTACATGCTGAAATTTTAATTGATAGAAATCTGTGAAACTTTCATCGTTAATAACAGCAAACATAACAACTTTGATATAATTCGGTATAAGATTAGCAGATGGCACTGCCTCATGCCGCTGAGCGCCATCTCCTAGGCACAATGTAAACCAACCCTTTCATCATCTTTGATATCTGTAAATATGTATAAAACATGCACTCTTGCATTGAATTGAACGACACCAAATGAAGTTACACTTAAGAAGGTTGTGGTGAATACTACTTGAAAAAAATGTGTTCGTACACGTGAGATTTGAATACATAAAACATGATTTAAACTTCAGACTAATCTTTAGCGCATCTGCTACTCTCTCCAGTACGCATGAAGTGGGTAACAGGGGTCCCCTGTTGTCTATTCCTGGAAATACTAAACTTAGCATGGGTTATCGGCCTTCTCCATTGATCGTATTTCCGGGCATTGTGCAATTTTAAATTGAAAATTGATAACAGGACAACTCGAATTGTACGCGGATGAAGTTGTCACTCTGACAAATATGATTAAAGGGCACTCATACGTAATTACAAAATTTTCGAGACGGAGACACACAACTAAAAAACGTATGTCTTTGAACTTCGAACAAACGTTCACACACAGGGGTAGGTTGCATGTGTATGTATGAGGGAGATAGAGATACAGTCCCGTGCAATGGCAAAAGATAGTAACTTGTTTTTGTGACTTTTACAGAAATCAATGAAGAACATTTCTACTCAAGCCGATAAGTAGACTTAAGTCACTAATAGTAGAAAAAGCCTTTTGTAAAGGACAAAAATTTGCCCTTTCCATCCATTGAAACAATTCTTGTTTAAAAACTGTCTTCATAAAGTTAAATTAGATACTTTGTTTGGAAATTTTTTTGTCATAGAATACAACAAGTAAATACTACAGTAAATAAAGTTACTTGTTTTTCACATTGGAATTCAAGATCCTTGTCGATTCTATACAGTTTTAAGGGGCTGCGAATTAGTATTCTTGAAAATCCAGGATGCTGTTGCTTTTATGCAGATTCTCCCGATCGACATAAAAGATCAGGAACATCATCATTTGTTGGTAATTGTCTCCAAAATAGTTGTTTTCTGGATTCCATCGCAGGACATAGTTCTTCAACTATTTTTTGTTTTTTTGCTGTGTTGATCCCTCTATCATTACTATGTTATAAGCTACAGGCTGCTGATTTATATCAAACTTACTCTTTAAAAAGTTCGCCTCAGCGTATTCAGTCTCATCAAACGATGTTTTGTAGAATAGAGACCTGGAACCCTTTCTGAACTCGGCAATCTTGATTTGGTCTAACAGCGGAATATTTACTTCCCCAGATATATTTTTACGGCGTTGTTTGGAGCCATCGATAAAAGGATAGAAATCACTGTGACGCATAACTATTGGTTTATTTTTCTTAGACGATGCATTTATCACATCAACAAAATCATTAACGTCCAATATTTGTTTACGCTTTCTCCACTCGCGTCCTATTTGTCCATGTACTGAATCAGCCTTCATAAAAGAATGTCCTGGCTCAAAGTACTTCACAATGATGTTTTCCGGTCCCCAATCTGCATTCACCAAACAGGCAAACATTGTATACAACGTCCAGTTCTTATTTTGGGCGGAGCAGTTATCCATCCAAAAGATAAAAGACATAACGTTTGGGTTAGAATTTTTAATGACATGATAGAACGTTGAGGCAATATCTGGAGCATTGCGTCCTCTAGTAGCTTCATGCCAGACATAACACTTATTATCATCTTTGTTCAAGGGAGCGAATGTCTCGTTGAAAGTCACTAGCCTTGGTATGAAAAATGACTCTTTAGTAGTCATCTTGGGAAGGAGCAGAACTTTCTGTAGATCTACAGTATAAATTTCAATTCCTCTTTGCCAGTCACGGTCTTTATCTTCCTTGTAAGCACGCCTAGTTGAAGTGTAGTGTGTCTTATGCACATTATGCTTGATACAAGTTTCACATGCGGCAGGATTATGACTAAGATCAACAGCTGTTTCTCCATTATGAATTGAGTACTTACTACAAACTCCACAATCATCCTGAGAGGGATGATCGAAGCCAATATTGAGCTTATCAACAACTTGTCTATACTTCTCGTATGATATTTTTTGTCTGCTCGTGCAAAAATCTCTCCACATAAGCGAAATATTTATCTCAGGTGAAAGATATCGTCGTAAGGGAGCATGGTCTAATTTATAATGAGAAACATATGGATGGAAAGAGTTTACATGGTTCTCGATTACGGTATCTGTCATAGCCTTTTGAATTTGCGCAGATCTTCTAGCTGATTCTCCTCTTCTATCTTTGATTTCTACATTGCTGTCTATTCTCCTTCTAGCTTTCAGATGTTGAGTGATGATGGAATCATTTCTTTGTCCTAAAGTATGAAGAAACATTGTTTTGCAGACTCTGAGTTCTGATCGAGAATCTTCTCCATATTGAGGTAGGTAGTACTTTAACGTGGAGGTTCTTTTAGAAAAGTTTCCCTGGGTAGTTCTAGTTTTGACGTTTTCTTCTTTAACATATGCTGTCAAATACAACCTTCGTTGAGAAAAATTCAGTTTCCAGAAGCTCTCTAATATTTTTTGCCTTGAATATTCATCAATTTTTGTACTGCAATGCTTGCGACAAGATTCCAAGCAAGGAGGAAGCAGCTTATGTGATTCGAGGTTCCTTCTCACTTTCTCTTTCCCTTTGCGAAGTCTTTTCATCTTCTTATTCGGATTTTCAACAATTTCAAAAACTGATTGTAATGCTGCCTCAAGCATATCACGTAAATACAACTCAGTAGCATCTTCATTGTTATTTGCGACCAGAGAGGAGACTTCTGGAAGGTCACCCAAATGACTAACAACAGGTTTATCGTTCAAGCTACTCGTAGATGGATTAGTTGGTGTTGTCTCGTTATGGACTTTCGAAATATCAAGGAGCAAGTCCTCTGGACCAAAATAAGATTTAATTTTCTTAGGGTGTTCCAGAGCTGGGTCGAAGTCTGGATCAAGATCAGAATCATCTACTTCTGAGTCGGAATCGACTTCTTCAGGTAGCGACCTGAAAAATATACTTTTGTCCATTTTAGGCTATTCGCAAAAATTTCTTGGTCATAGTTAAACTACGCTCCAATCAAACCATTACAACTCGTGCATTTTCATGTTTACCTCTCTAAATGTTAGTGAAACTAGGATGAAACAGAATGAAATAATAAATACCTAGTTGGTTTATACTTAAGCTTCCAATAGTTTTTTTTAATCTTTGGGTATGCAATGAATTACAGCAGGTTTCTTCTCAACTCGAAATACGATTGATCAGTTATTACTTTTTCTATTCTGATATTACAAGTCTGACAACGTTGCAATAGCTATGGGATCGGCAAAGCAGCCGTTGGGAATTATGAAATGGGAGTGAGGTTATGCTATATTTTTAGCATATTCACGGATTTGAAAAACAGAGCTTAGTTACAGTCAAGTTTTAAACTTACCTTTTCAGGGCCATCTGTACAAAAACGTGTGTTCATGATTTTGGAACTTATACAATGCGTTTTTAACTGATTCACTCACAAATGATATATCTGTTGGTTAGCAAAACTAACTCCTACTAATGTTGCCAAATTTGTGCTGCATTTACCATATTGAAATAGGGCAACTAGAGATACGTAGCAGTATATGACAAATAACAGAACATTTTGCTATTCCAAAACACAGCAACTGCAGATACGTTGCTTTCTTTTAGCATTCAGCGCATGACTGTGTAAAATAACCGAACAGCTACCAGCAACTTCAAATACAGTTTTTTGATTTAGTAATTCCAGCAAAACTGTGGGAGATACGATTCCTCCTATGCCTGTATCTATGATTCTAATTGGCCTATAATAAAGTTATTTGTAGTAGCAAATAGCTCGGAAGGTGACCAATCCATCTGGCGCTACAAAGCCAAAACCTAGTAACTTGAGTTACTGCGTTTTGCCATTGCAGGGGAGTACAGGTATATAAAGGGATACTGGTAACCTTACTTTGACTCGCACGGGTATCATGTAAAAAACCTATAAAACGTCTAAAAAAAAGCTATAAAATGTCATCTTGCAGACTAGGTACCTAGGTAGTTTTTAGGGTGCAGTCATTCCACGTTTGCTCACAAGAATCGTTGTGAGCGTCCGTCTATGGAGGAATAGCTCAACTTCATGCATTGGTTGCATATGTTTTGTGAAGGCGAGTAACCTGTAGGCCTGTAGTTTTCTCAGATGAGAAGAAAGTTGGTTGGATAGCAAGATCACATCTGAATGATTATGTGTATCTACTGGTCTGCATGTCTATAAAATCAGTGATATTTGCTGTGTGAGAAAATCATTACTGAAATGCTGCCAATGAAGTATGTATATCCGACCAATTATTTGTGTTGTGCTTTCTGAAGGGGGGTTATGTTCAAAGTTATAAATTGCGGAAAACTTTGAGGAGAATCACGGGAAATCACCACCGCGTTTTGTGTGTAATTAATGTTAGTGTTCATGCAAGTTCTAAAACATACTTTATTATTTTGAACTCAAAAGCCATACAAATTCAAACCCTTTGGCACGCGCGCATACTAGTCAAACATGCGCACAAGAAGAAGAAGATTTTCGTGAAGTCAATATCGTAAAGATCGAAAAAGACAACGGTCGTCTTCAAAAACTCGACAATCCTAGTTAAACCGGGTACAATATATTCGCTAAGGCAAGTGTGGTGAACCTAAGAAGAAGCTGTGAAGAGAGAGGAGCTCGTCCAGACCAGGCGACAGGAACACCCAGGTAAGTGCCAAACCTGCATTGTCTTTGTATGGCTCGGGTGTCGATTACCTTATTACCTTAATTATATCTGAACGCGCTTACAGTCCCGCGGCCCTCCACAATTTAGAATCAACTTTGCAATAACAGTTAGCATGTATATGACTTGTAATTCGACAGTG